CAGCCACGAGAGGGTAGGTACAGGCCCCCCGCCCCGGCACCCACCTCCCCAGCCTGCTGCGCCGGTGCCGTCCTGCTCTTCCCCAACACCTCAGCTGAGCACATGGCTGTCCTGGGGCTGGGGCCGTGCCGGTGTCACCGAAAATCCGGGAATAAAACCTCGTAACACCAATGTAGTGTTAAAAGGCAGGCATTCTTTATTGCGACGTCGGATGCATGGGGGATAATTCTGCCGAACGTGCATACCCTATACCCTTTCCGTGCAGTTTATATAGATCAAAATATACATATTCATCTGATTACATAAGCCCTTTCTTTCATAGTCAAATCAGTCCATTTTCATACACTCCTCCCACCCGCACTTGCGCAGTGCCTCCTAGTGGTGGTCGTCGGGGGTCCTAAGATGAAGGCTTATCCTCTTCATCACAGTTTCTGCGCAAACTCAGTCCTCTTCTGGCTCTTGTCCCTGCGGCACGGGTCATCTTGACCAGTTCTAGGCACCTGCTGGTTTTAATTGAAACTAACTTCTTTGGGGAGAGATGTATGACTTTTTGCTTCAATTAATTCACACAATAGATAGGTACCACAAATACACCTGCAACCTTTTGGTAACGCTATTTCTATTAAAAAAATCCCCTTCACCATTATTGTTTAACGTTAATGATTACCTAGGGACTAAACCCTCTGTTCCCAGACCTAATGTCCAGATGGGCAGGGCTGTACAAGGGACATAGCAGCATTGTTCGTGTTTTATGATTAACTAATTCCATCACCTCGGTTACATTTCCCCCCTTTGGAAGTTTTGAAATAATTCTCTTTTCAATACTTCCATAATTACATTTTTCTTAATCATATAATAATTAAATATTATTATAATATTTTTTTCAGAATCACAACACTACACTTATAGTCCACTTGTTTCGCTATAGGGTGGTGGAAGTGTTACAACCGACTCACTAAGGTTTTGTCTTCTTGCAATAGCCTGAATAATCATTTGATTAAAAGCTGTTCTGTTGGTGAGTTCCTTTTTTAGACAATAATAAATGAGCAGTATTATTATTAAAACTACTACCAGTAAAAGCAGTCCGGTACCGACTAAAGATTTGACCCAAGAACTAATATTCCACCTGAATCCATTAAAAATTTTATCAAGCCAATTTTCTTGCATGTCTTGTTGAATTTCTTCATGGGACTGATTTTCCTACCGCCCTTGGGATTGGAAGACATGTAGTTATTTGGGTCACATTTTGTAAATTTGCAAATTCTTCTATAAGCCCGATCATCAAATTTTTTCTGGAGTCCTCCTTAGGAGGTATATTAATTGTTTTGCTTTTATTGGCAGTGAATTAACGTTTTTTGTTCTTACTTCTAATACACTGAACAGTGTTCTTAGTATCATCAGTTTTCAGATCGAGATACAGTCTCCTCGCATTTTACAGTAATAACTACTCTTTTTAGATATATTTCAAAGTCAGTTTTGCAGTCTCTGGATCTCTATTGATGACTCTCCACGAAGGGGCCTTCTTCACTCGAGTGTAGTGTATCTACGGTTCCACCCCTTCTACTTTGATTGCAGTGTAAGTTGTTAACAGTACCTGAAAAGGTTCTTTCCACTTTTTTTGCAGTGGTTCAGAGTTCCAAGTTCTTATGTACATGAAATCACCTGGTTGATACTGATGCACAGGGGTATCCAAAGCAAGCGATTTGGTCAGCACAATGTATTTTCGGAGTGCTTCAAGTGTTTTTCCTAAAGAAACCAAATACATTTTTAAATCTGTTTCCCTTGTTATTTTTATATCCCCTGGGATTAAAGGAGTCTGATAAGGTTTGCCATACAAAATTTCGTATGGACTTACACCATCTTTAGATCTTGGTTGGATTCTGATTCTCAGAAGTGCTAATGGTAAAGCTTGTGGCCATTTTAAAGACACTTTTTGACAAATTTTATTTATTTGTCTTTTTAATGTTTGGTTTATTCTTTCAATTTTCCCACTTGATTGTGGCCTCCAGGGGGTATGTAAATCTTAATTTATTCTTAAAATTTTATTTACTTGCTGAACTATTTTTGTTACAAAATGTGGTCCCCTATCGGAAGACATGCCAATTGGTACCCTAAACCTTGGTATTATTTTTTTTAACAATATTTTAACTACTTTTTTCGCTTTGTTGGTGTGACAAGGAAAGGCTTCCGGCCATCCAGAAAAAGTATTAATTAATACTAATAGATACTTGAATCCATTCTGCCTGGGCAGTTCAGAAAAATCAACTTGTCAATAATTTTCTGGGGTGTTATCCTGTTTTGTTATTCCTAGGGGTGCTCTTTTCCGATTTAAAGGATTATTTTTGAGACAAATTGGACACTTAGTTATTATAGATTTCATTACTTCTGTCATTCCTACACACACTGCAGATGATTTTAGGCTCGAGATTATAGCATCTACACCCCAATGTGTCTGTGTATGTTTTTTTTCGCAAGTTCTATCATGACTTGCGGGGTTATTGTTATCTGCTTTTTTGGTGTTACCCACCACTCTTCTGTATTTTGTGATGCCTTTAATTGTTCTGTCAATTGTTCATCCAATTTACTGTATTTTGTTTCAGATTTGGGATTTTTATTTGTTTTACTGGTATTAGTGCAAAGATACTTTGTTTAGCAGTCTCTTTTGTTGTTTTGTCTGCCAATCGATTACTTATGTTTATAGTTGTCCGACCAAATTGATGAGCCTTGCAGTGCATCACTGCCACTTTCTTTGGTTTCTGCGCCTCTTCGAGGAGCTGAAGGATTTTTTCTTTATGTTTTATCGATGAACCTTGGGCTGAGAGCAGTCCTCTTTCTTTCCAGATGGCTTCATGAGCATGAATTACACCAAATGCATATTTAGAGTCAGTCCATATATTTACCCTTTTTTCTTCTGCCATTCGCAAGGCTTGCCTCAATGCCACCAGTTCTGCTTTCTGTGCCGAGGTATTTGCAGGTAGCGTTCCTGACTCCAGTACCTCGGTGGTGGTGACAACAGCGTATCCGGCCGTTCGTCTTTCTTCTTTCACAAAGCTGCTTCCATCCGTGAACAATTCGAAATCAGGATTTTCCAGAGGCTCATCCCTCAGGTCCGGTCTGCTGGAATAGACTTGTTCAACAGTTAGCAGGCAGTCATGTTCTAGATTTTCTGTTGGATTTTTCGTTGACAGGAACATTGCTGGATTTACGATGGTTGTGGTTTTTAGTTCCACATCATCCTGCTCTGGCAAGACAACCTGATATTTTAGCATTCTGCTGGGGGACAGCCAATGACCCCCCTTTTGTTCTAGAACAGTTACCACCATGTGTGGTACATACACCACCATCTTTTGGCCCATAGTCAATTTTCAAGCTTCCTGAATCAGCAATACCGTCGCTGCCACGGCGCGCAAACATCCCGGCCATCCTTTACTCACGTTGTCAAGTTGTTTAGAGAGGTATCCTACTGGCTGCTTCCAGGATCCCAGACGTTGTGCCAGCACTCTAAGGACCAGATGTTGTCTTTTATGGACAAACAGTTTTCCAAATATTGTGGGGCTATTTTTAAATCCTTGTGGAAGTATAGTCCATGTCAGTTGTATCTTTCGTTCTGTTGCAGGGCTCTTCCATTCAAAAGCAAATATGCTTTGACTTTGTGCATCCAGAGGTATGCAAAAGAAGGTATTCTTTAAATCTAGTACAGTAAACCATTTATGCTCCTCTTTCAGGGATGTCAATAAAGTATAGGGATTGGCCACTACTGGGTGTATATCTTGAACTATTTGATTTATAGCTCTTAGATCCTGGACTAGTCGATATTCTCGTCCTCCAGGTTTCTTTACCGGTAGTATAGGTGTGTTGTATTTTGACTCGCATTCTACCAAAAGCCTATATTCCAAAAATTTCATGATTAACCCCTTTAATTCTTTTCGTGCCTCCCACTTAATAGGATATTATTTTTGTCTTACCGGTTTGGATCCAGGTTTTAAGGTCACTTTTACCAGTTCTGCCAATTTGGACTGTCCCGGAACTTCATTTGCCTAAACCAAGCAGGATTACTGCGTTTTCCACCTCTTCTGGAATTTGTTCCTCCTTAAAAGAATCCTGTAACACAAACACCCTTGCCTCTACGGCTTTTGATTCTGGTATCAATAATTTAATTTTTTCATTTTTTTTTAAAGTTATTTGTGCCTCTAATTTGCTTAATAAATCTTGTCTTAACAAAGGCAACGGACATTCAGGCATATATAGAAACTGGTGAGTTACCCACTGTTTTCTTAATTTCAACAGCTCTAAGAAAGGTTAATTTTCTTTTTACCCTGTCGCACCAACAACATCTACAGATTTATGACTATATTTCCCTTTACATGTGTTTAATACCAAATAAGTGGTTCTTGTATTTATTAAAAATTTTACTTCCTCATTCTCTGTCTTTTCAGAGAGGGGCTTGGAGGGGGGAAGCCGGATGGGGGGCCCCCCCCCCCCCCCCCCGCCCTTCTCTCGTGACCTGCACCTCAGGC